GGAATGGGAGGTTTGGGCGGAGGCAGCTTTGGTGGAAGCTTTGGAGGGGGCAGCTTTGGAGGGGGTGGCTACGGAGGGGGCGGCTATGGAGGGGGCAGCTTTGGAGGGGGCAGCTTTGGAGGGGGCAGCTTTGGTGGGGGCAGCTTCGGTGGGGGCAGCTTCGGTGGTGGCGGAGATGGTGGCCTTCTCTCTGGAAATGAAAAAGTAACCATGCAGAATCTGAATGACCGTCTGGCTACCTACTTGGATAAAGTTCGGGCTCTGGAAGAATCAAACTTTGAGCTAGAGGGCAAAATCAAGGAATGGTATGAAAAGCATGGCAACTCAAGCCAGCGGGAACCTCGTGACTACAGCAAATACTACCAAACCATCGAAGATCTTAAAAATCAGGTGAGAGGCATTTTAAAAATTCAACTTGAAGTATTTCTTAGCCATGTAATTTAGATACATTACACTCGATATAGTCGAGTGTGTCTGCTAGGTTACTTTCTTGCTTCCAAAAATAATTCAGTCTCATCAAAGATAAATATTTGTGAGGATATGGTTATTGCTATCTTCACCCATCATGTGTGTTATGTGCCTTGTACAATGGCAAATTACTAAAAAAAAGTTTGGCTTTAATGTGTATATGATGAGTCTATAGTTAAAATACACTAAGTCATTTAGAAATACAAGCTGAATTACTAAATGACACAGAACAAAATATTATTCATATTGGTAACCAAAAAAAATGACATATTCAATACCAACACTACAAGAAGTATGAATTCTCCATTTGTGAGCTGTGCCTACTGCCTACCAGCTCCGGCTGTATTCATTTAGAATATATATAACAAGCTAAACTGAATACAAGTATAAGTGCCAATCTGGCATACATAATGGCAATCACAGTGTTGGGGACACATGCAGGAATATGTCTTAGGTCATTCCAGTTAATTTTCAGCAAGGGTGATACAAACATAAGAGTATAGAAACTCATATAAGTATATGGTTAAGTTTACAATAACTTTTATTTTAAAGAAAAATTTCCAACACAATGAACATAAAAATGCAGTTCATCTATGTCACTATCAAATATGTGCATCTAACTTCTTTGCTTCTCCTTTCAGATCCTCAGCCTAACAACCGACAATGCTAATGTCCTGCTTCAGATCGACAACGCCAGGCTGGCAGCTGATGACTTCAGGCTGAAGTAAGCTAAGTGAATGTGATTCAAAGTGTCACACAAATAGTAGTATTTAACAATAACTTTGAATGCAATAGTATTTGTTTTCCTGAATTCCCTCAATTGTAGTTAACAAGTGTGGCAATATTAAAAGAAAAAAGTAGTAATGGCTCAACTTCTTTGCATTAAACTGCTAACATACCTGTGTGGGTTAGTATATGCTCAGTGTGGCCATGAAGCTTTTTAAACAGTCACTTCCCAGATACACCTCTCCTAGGGACATTATATCCAGTATTTGTCTCATGCTTGTTTCAGGTATGAGAATGAGGTGGCCCTGCGCCAGAGCGTGGATGCCGACATCAACGGCCTGCGCCGAGTTCTGGACGAGCTGACCCTGACCAAAGCTGACCTGGAAATGCAGATTGAGAGCCTGACTGAAGAGCTGGCCTACCTGAAGAAGAACCATGAAGAGGTATACAAAAAGTCATAGTCCCTTAGGCCAAAGGAGCTCACTGTGGTCACAGTGCAAATGAAATTATACTCTTCCTTCAACAGGAAATGAAAGACCTTCAGAACGTGTCCACTGGTGATGTGAATGTGGAAATGAATGCTGCCCCAGGTGTGGACCTGACTCAGCTTCTGAACAACATGAGAAGCCAGTATGAGCAACTTGCTGAGCAAAACCGCAAGGATGCCGAGGCTTGGTTCAATGAAAAGGTAACTCATCTTCCTTCATGGAAGGCAGTGGGAGCTTGGTTATCATTTCAGATTTTTTTTATCTTCTCTGTTCTTAATACCCTAGAGCAAGGAACTGACTACAGAAATCGACAGTAACATTGAACAAGTGTCAAGCCATAAATCTGAGATCACTGAATTGAGACGCACAGTTCAAGGCCTGGAAATCGAACTACAGTCCCAGATGGCCCTGGTATGTTAACCCTGTGAAATGACTCAACTTTATCCTGCAAAGTTTCATGCTCACATAAGAATATGCAACCATGAGAAAATGCCGGGTTGGGATGAGGAGACAGCACTGCAGCTCTTTGTTAAATAAAGGAACACAATATTGGCAGTGATCTAAAGGTGCTAAAATTGAACTGCTGTCATTCAACATAACGCACAAATTCTACTCACTTTTCTTATTCTCCTGTGCAATGGCTTATTAACTTAAAAAAATAAGCTGCCCTGTACTCAAATGATGAGATCATTCAGCCACATATGTTCTCTCTTCTTTGCAGAAACAATCCCTGGAATCCTCCCTGGCAGAAACCGAAGGTCGCTACTGTATGCAGCTCTCCCAGATTCAGGGCCAGATCTCCTCTCTGGAGGAGCAACTGCAACAGATCCGTGCTGAAACCGAGTGCCAGAATGCCGAGTACCAACAGCTCCTGGACATTAAGATCAGACTGGAGAATGAAATTCAAACCTACCGCAGCCTGCTAGATGGAGAGGGAGGGTAAACACACCTTTTTACAGCCTTTTATTCAATATTTCAAATTGCAAGAGGGTGGGCGTGAAAGGGGAGGCAGATTACAGGAAAACCGGCCTCACTTCCCATGAATTTGGCCAAGAAAGACGCTTATGGTTGTGTCACAGAAAACTACTTTTAAATAATTTTTTCGGTTTTTTTTTTTTACCCATTTGACAGGAATGTTTTTCCTCAAAACACTTCTGCTTATTTTCTAAAGTCACTAAAAGCTGGAAAGCGGCCTGCCGTTTTCCAACATTAAGAGTTAACCGAAAAAATGTAAACGGAGCTTGATCTTACTCCCTGCAGCACTGGAGGCGGCTCCCACGGAGGCGGGCGCGGCGGCGGCAGTTCCGGCGGCTATGGCGGAAGTTCCGGCGGCGGAAGTTCCGGCGGCTATGGCGGCGGGTCCGGCGGCGGAAGTTCCGGCGGCTATGGCGGCGGGTCCGGCGGCGGTGGTTCCGGCGGCGGCTACGGTGGCGGCAGTTCCGGTGGCGGCAGTTCCGGCGGCGGCGGTTCCAGCGGTGGCTACGGCGGCAGCAGTTCCGGCGGCCTCAGGTCGTCCTCTTCCGGGTCTGCCGGAGAGAGCTCAAAGGGACCCAGGTCAGCAGAAACTAACTGGGGTAATCAGAACTAGTTTTAACTTTCTGCGATGGTGTTGTTGCTTTTTAAGCGCACGAGCTGCTTTATGAAACTTGAAAGCTTGCGGGTTTTGACGAACTGTTGCTTGACACCAATCCTGAAAGAACGTGGTGTCGTTTAAATGCTTGCTTAGACACTGCTCGGTTTTTTAAAACAATATTTATTTCATTTAAGCGTGTGTTTCTCTTAGAAGCTTAAGGACACAAATAGCCCCCTCCCCGTTGCGAGGTCTGTGTTCTGATGGCGTTTCATTCATTTGCAGATACTGACAAAACCAGAGTAATCAAGACGATTATTGAAGAGGTGGCACCTGATGGTAGAGTCCTTTCATCTGTGGTTGAGTCAGAAACCAGGAAACACTTCTATTAAACCGCAACAAGTGGAAAGAGTCTCCCTTCTGCAAAGGCCATTCAGTACAGAAATGCAGGAGGAAAATCTCCAGGGATGCACTTCAGCCTTAATGGTCTAAGGAAATAGGTTCACTCCTCGAAAATAATTGCTCTAAAGGTGTTTTGTGGTTTCTGTATTTCTTCTTTTCACTTTACCAGAATGTGTACTTTAATGGAAAAAAAAAACTTTCTGTTCTCATTTACTAATGAATTTCAATAAACTTTCTTACTGCTGCAAACTATCTGTTTGGTCGTAACTATCCTTACTTAAATTAGATGATATTTTTAACTTTGAAGATGAAGAAATTAGAAGATAGATTTACCCCCCAGAAATTCTGAAGACAAGGTTATTGTCATGATGATTTCTCAGTAATCTCACTGGATAAAAAAAAAATCCATGAGTCACCAATCTTAATCTTTCTTAAAGATACACAATATGCAGAAAGAAGCCCTGGCTTTCAAATCACATCAATCCTAGAAATTCTAAACTAACTCCATTAAGAGCCAAACACTTAATTGGAACTTTCATACTTTCTGATCACTTCTCACATTTATCTGCACTTACATCTTCTCAATACTATTTCTTTCTGCCCAGTCATGCTACAGCCTGTGTGATATATCCCAGTACATTCTTGCAGTGAAAACATATCACTCCAACAAAACTACCTGGTGTCTCAGATGAACAGAAGTAGCACTGTCAATACATGGTGTTGCCAATTTGACCAAAGAATGACTTCCAGGTCCCTGCCTTCACCAGCCTTGCCCACTGAGCAGTACCAAAGACCTGGTACTTGTAATGTCAACCCAATCCTGTCCTTCAGTCAATAACCCATTCTGCACTAGTAGGTGGAGTAGTGATAGTTGGAGTTACTTTCTGCCCCTAGGACTACCTGAATTACTGTGTCCACCAAATAGCAGCCTTCCTCCATATTTTTCCTGACCTGAGTTACAGTTTCCCCTTCCCTACCCCCAGGACTTATGCTTGGGACTCCTGATGGACAAACCCTACCCTCTGTATCCCACAGTGATGACTGATGCTCTATTCCAATGTGATTGGACTTGTATAGTCAAGTTTCCATGATCTATCTGGCACCAGAGACAGACACTCTTCACTGTTTACATGTCTTTTTCTGGGTGTACCAGGCGTTCTTCTTGGGGGCCACTCTTGTACAGTTCACTGTTGAAGTCCCACCATGCCACAATGTAAGATCCAGAAAAACCAATGTTGCTAGGTAAGGACTCTGATCTACAGTATTGTTCACCTAGAGTTGGTGATGATCCTTTCTCTTTTTCCTGGAGAAATGAGTGTTTTCTTTATCGTTAACACTAATTGAAGATAAATACAAACTCTTGTTATTAACATTAGTATATATTATTAGGTTTTATCTATTCTCCCCAATCTTCCCTCACTCCCTCCAAGCCAGGTGGTCAACTAGTCAGAGTTCTTTATCTCATAGAGTGGTGACCCAAACTTTCATCCCTGAAAGTTCTGAATCACATGGCCCTGTCTACTTACCTCTGCAATCTGCCAATACCTGCAATAATCATTTATGTCAAATTCTCTCTGATAAAGTATGTTATCTTTGATAAACTACTTTTTTAATAGATGATAGCGAAGTGTATTATGGTAACTGTTTCTCAAGTAATTATGCTGTGTACCTTAAACTTACTTGATACTATCTGTTAATTATATTGAAAAAAGAGAACTAGCTTTACCAGGTTTTGAACAAGTTTAATAAATATAACTAAGTAAACAACTTGCTATTTGATTTTAACAAATACATTGGGGGATTTTAGTAAGACTATTGTTAACCATGAAGGTCATTTTTCTACATAGATTTATCATGTAGCTATCAATCAAAAAAATCCTGTACCTATCCTCACATATTCTAAAGTTGTTAGACTCCTGCTATTTAAGCAGTGTTCAAGGAGACCAGCAAAGTCAATTTTTTACACTAGATAAACTACTTTTTTAATAGATGAAGACATGCAGAACAGAAGAAAATAAAATTGTTTCTCCAAATATGTTGCATAATTGCATTTTCCTGCCATAGGCCAAATGCTTTGCACCTTGACCTTGATGTTTATGGTGGCTAAATAGTTTGCTTGGGTATGAAGAAGTAACTTTGTTAGGATCTGATTTTTAGGAGGTATAACTTGATTAAAGGTAATTAAATAATATCTGGACCTCACCTTGAAAACAGGAACTGAGGAAAGATTTCATTTGTGGATAGAAGTGTGTATTTCAAAGTTGCTAGTTCCTGGAGTTCATGTCTAGGCACTGGTATTTACAAATCTAGTAACTTCTGAACAAATTACTTCAGCCCTCTGAGTCTCAGCTTCCTTATGTATGCAATAGGGATAATGATTACCTCTTATGAGATTAGTATGGGGTTAATACTCATAAAGCTCTTAGAAAAATGCCTGCCCTATAGAGTCAGTACTGAAGAGACAGTATTCTGTTCCTCTTCAAAGAAATGTACTTATTATGGCCTCCCTGATGACACAGGGAGTTAATCCAGTGCTATCAAGCTATCACCAGTCACTGTGGCATGAGTTCTGTCTCCATGACTCACATGGTGCAGCAGACCTCTCCTGTCTTCCCTGCTGCTCCTCTCAGCAGTGTATTTCAATAGCTCCTCCTCAAACCCCACACCTCTGACCTAGTTCTCATATGCATAAAAAAATAAATAAATAAAAATCTTTTTTAAAAAAGAAAGATTAGCTAAATAAACTAGTTTTCTCCAGAGATCGACATGAGCACCACAATAAGTTGTTGAGCAGGTAATCATATCATCAGTGTGAGATTCCAGAAGTGGAGAACAAGGCCAAGTTGCTATCCTAGGTCTGAAAAACTAAATTCCAGACAGTAGGAATAATGGTGAGAATGTGTCACAAAGGACTGTGCCTAACTTAGTACTGTAAACCTGAGTCGAATATTATATGCAAGAGGTGTATGGGAATCAGCAGAAGACCAGCTGTTGCCCCCAAAGACCTCAGCAGTTGACCTCCCTTAAAAGCTGCAGGTGTGCCACAAAGCCAACTTACAGAAACAAGTCAGCAGTACAGAAATAAATGCAGTTAGAAGCAGAAACAAAGAATTTTTGAAGAATAATTTTTTTCACACAAGCTTGTTTCTCAGAAATCCATGCCAAAGGGACTCTTAGAGTGTCCCATGAGGCTTCAGAGTCTCCAGCTAAAGACACAGATACTATCTGCATCCTAACACCAAGAAAGATCTTACAGTTTAGGATCACTTAGAAAAGGAAGGGATTTTTATGAATCGGTAAATTACACTGAGGGAGGATTTAAATAGCATTCTGCAGATAGCTTTGTCCTCCAACATTTGGGAGCTGGGGGCAGAGGGTAGATACATCCTTTAGCTTTTAATTAACCTGTTTAACTTAAAATGAGTTATCTCAGGAGACATGTTTGAAACACATGAATACAAGGCTAGCTGAGTCAGGGCCAAGTTAACAACCACCTTAGAAAACCTCTCATGAAAAGTTTTTACCTATAGTCACTATACATTTCTGTAAAGTAGGAAAGTTGTAAGGGAGAAAGTTGTAAGTTGTAAAGTAGGAAAGTTGTAAGGGAGACTAGAAGACAAAAAGGCAGCAAAATGCACCTTGAGAGGTTGAACAACACCTGTAAAGATGAAAGCAAGTGGAGTATTGCCAAAAAGAGAGAGAGAGAGAAGCTCAACATCAATAATCACTAAGGAAATGCAAATCAAAATCGTAGTGAGATACCATCTCACACCCACTGGGGTAGCTACTATCAAAAACACAAAGTAACTGGTGCTGGCAAGGATGTGAAGTTGGAATCCTGGTGCTCTGTTGGTGGGAATGTAAAATGGAGCAGCTGCTAAGGAAAACTGGATAATGATTTCTTTAAAAATTAAAAATAGAATCACCAGGGCCCTCCCTGGTGGCACAGCGGGTTAAATCACAGCACTAAGAAGCTAAAGCCACTTCAGCTTGAATTCCAACCCCGCCTGCCCCGGAGATGATCCACGTGGGGCAGCAGACCTCTCCTGACCCGCCTGCTGCTCCCCTCAGCAGTGTACTTCAAAGATCTGCCTGTTCTGCTCCCTACTCTGCTCTGGTGAAGCCTCTCACTTCCCCTTCACCTCTGGCCTGTACCCCAGTTCTGCATGAATAAACAAATATTTTTTAAAAAATAGAGTCACCATATGATCTAACAACTCTTCTTCTGGTCTCTAGCCAAAGGATTATGCCAGGGGCTTGAAGAGATATTAGATTTGCACCTGCTAATCTCATGGTGCATTAGCCCCTGAAAGAGCTTGGAGGATACTTGCTTTTCCCCAGTAGCCTCGGCTACTAGTCTAGTGCCTTGGCACTTAATAGCTGCTCAATAAATATTTCTTGGCATGAGCTAAAGAAATGAATGGATAACACCTGGTTGTCAGTATAACTACAGTTAAGAGTGTCATTTTGCTGCTAACTAGAAAGTGCTGTCCTGAGATAAGATTCTGTTCATCCTCACTAAAGAAGTATTTTTGTTTTTTATAAGTTTTATGTCCCTACTTAAAATAATTACATCACAGCACTGAATCACAAGACACATCCTGACCTCATTTACCCAAGATTTATGTCCAGTATCCTCGAACACACCTTTTCCTTATTTCCTTGTTTAAATCAAAGGAAGGAAACCTCTCTTCCTAATTCCCAGGTGCATCATTTAAGGTTCAAGTGAGAAAGTATACCAGAAGTGTCTTTGGGAATTGTGAAACAACATCATGTTGATATATTCATCCTGCACAAGAGTGGGGGCGGGGGGGAGTGTTTGGTTGGTTGATTTTGGGGGTTTTGGTTTTAGGTTTTGTTTGGTTGGTTGGTTTATTTTGCCTTTTTATTAGAGGTTTAATTGTTTCCAGATGAAGCAGTGTGAGGCCCAGATTGAAGAGGTTGCACCCTCAGCTACGTCCATTTGTAGGCCAGCACTGCCCTCTGGTGGAAATAGTAAGGCAGGTCGGTGTGGTAGACCATGGGGCTGGGAGGAATGGCGCTCATTGAGTCTTTGAAAGAAAGCTCTTACTGGGAGCCACCTGTGACTGTGCGGGCGCCTCTCTTTCTCTCTCCTTTTCCTAGTAAACCTATCCTTTTAAAGTGCAAAAAAAAAGAGAAAGAACCCACTTATTTAAGTATTGCTTTAAAAAAATACGATGCCTCTTCCCTTCTTTTCTCAAACAGTATTCTTTTGGAAATAGATTCTTCATATATGCAAGCTGTAGGCCCATCACACCATGGGCTTGTATAATTACTACTTACAGTTAATAGGTAATACAGTTAATACAGAAGAAGTTTACAAGTCTATATATATTTCAATATTCTATTTCTTTGGCATTTCCGCTTCAATATTCAGTATTTTAATGACTCAATCATTTAACTTTTGAAATATTTGAGACTACTGAAGGCAGTTCATAAAGTAGATATTCATATTAGCATGGGTCATTTAGAGTAATGAAACCAGCATCTCAAGGCCATCTTAAACACATGTCAGTTCTCCCTTGAATGTGCCTGGTGACACTCAGCAAATGGTTTAACATTCCTGGGCCTCATTTTCCAGATAAAGGGAAAGAATTAGATCATGACTAAGACTCGGTGCCACTCTGAAATGGTCTGAATGGATCAAGAAGATGTGGTATATGTGCACGATGGAATACTACTCGGTGATCAAAAAGATAAACTCATGCTATTTATAGCAGCATGGATGGGCTGGAAGGGATTATGCTAAGCAAAATAAGTCAGACAGAAAAGAAAAATATCAGATGGTTTCACTTACAGGAGGAATATAGGGGGACCCAAGAAAGGGTCAGGAAATAGACAAAACTTACAGGCAAACCACAGAACTGAGCCACACAGCAGAGGAGGGACAAGAACAAGAGCGTATGGTGATGGTGCAGGGTTCTGTCAGTGCGAGAATTATGGAGACTATACCTGAGAGGAGAAATCAAATATTGTACAAAAATGAACAATGACATAAGGAAAAATAAATAAATGCATTTCAAGGCCACCATCTGATGCCTCCACCGTGCCAGCTGAACAGCCTTCAGACTCTGTATGCCGACACAGTTCTAGGGAACACCCCCAGTTTTCCTCGTGGCCAAACAGCCTCACCACAGTACCTGAAACAAGTCAGGTCCCCCATCTTTCCTTCCCTGCCCCATGGCCTTCACACCCACGCTCCCTCCCCAGCATCCAGGAGAGACTTCTCCCATCCTCTCTCCTCGCTCGCCTCTCTACCTTTCTGACTTGGCCTCCTCCACCCCCTCCACACACAGCCTGCTCGAGACACCGAGGAACAACAGACAGAACCCTGTTTCCTCCGTGGTTTTGTTCCCCAGCCATTGTGCTGAGCACAGTCACCTTTGGCGTCTCAACATGAGGTAGATACTCTTTCTATCCAAACTGTGTCAACTACCCACAACCCTTTCTACAGGCCTCCCTGCAGAAGTTTCAATTGAAAAAAAGATAACTTTTCTATCATTAACCACTTGCCACCCCTTTCTCCTAAATGGGTCCCTTTTCTCTTGGAAACAAATCTCTCATCCCACTTCCATCCCTGTCTCTCTCCCCACGGATCTACCTCCCCTTCTTCCCCTCGCATCTCCTCCCTACTCTCTCGACTCTCCATCTCCCCACCCCATCGCCATCACCACCTCGCTCCTCCCCCACACCACCCCCCATCCACACCCCCACTCCATTTCCTCAAACCTAACACATGAACTTCAAAGTAAAGCTCAGAATCTTCCTCCTCCAGCATCCCCTATCTCCACTCACGCTATGGGATTCCCACTATCTGAAATCAATTTTCTGAGAGTCATCCCCAACCCCTCCTCCCGCCTCCTCGAGACTCAATCAGCGATCGCATCTGCTCAAATTCTTCCCCGCTTTGCTTTCATCCTTCATCTTCACCTGGACTGCTGTTGTCCACACCTTGTGATTGCTTTTTGTTTTTTTTCCATTTCATCCAGATCATCCTGCCCTCTGCTTTTGTACTTAGAATTCACTCCAACTCCCCAGACTGTCTGGCGCCGACATGAATGCGTTTAGCATTAAACACCAACCATCGTAACTATGCATTAAATAAAAGAATCAGTCGATACTTGTGTTATTGTTCAAGGCACTGAATAGATGTTATAATCATGGTAATACAGAGAAGTTGTCATGTTTTTAATGACACTTTTTTTTGCTCTGATGGGATAAAACATATGGTTCTGTAGTGGATGGTTCTTTATACATGTCTGATAATTAAGAGCCTACTGCAGCTGATGGCCCCTATCACAATCTTCCTTAACTTTTAAAACTTTATAATACCCTGTGCCATATAATGATGCTATAGGCCTAGGTCTAGATGAAAGTAAAGGATTACTCACTCAAAATTAGAAGTTAAAATAATGAACTTAATATAGAATGAACCCTATTATATTTAAGATAACAAATACCCTGAGGCAACAGTCAGAGATGTTAGACATTAATTTACACACACACAAAACCACCCAATTATACATAATTTCATGCTAATCTGGATGATGCCCTTTTTCTTTTGGTATGCATCAAATAGAAACACCCCAATAATTGCGTATAAAAACCCCCCGAAACCTTTCCCACACGATATTTTGTTCTGCGGAGTCAGCCGTCCCCAGGAAAGGCCAACCTTTCTCAGCCGGCCATGTCGCTCCGATTTTCCAGCGGGTCCAGGCACATCTGCTTGCGGTCTGGACCCGGCTCTGTCAGACCGGCCAGTGGCGCTGCGGGCTTTGCGGGCAGCAGCACGTGTGGCAGCCCCCTCACGGGAAACGGACTGTCCTGTGCCTTGGGAGGGGGCTTGGGCAGCGCCCCTGGAGGGAACCACACTGGCGGGGCCCTCGGAAATGCTGCCTGCACCGGCTTCGCTGGAAGCGAGGGGGGTCTCCTGTCGGGCAACGAGAAGGTGACCATGCAGAATCTCAATGACCGTCTGGCCTCCTACCTGGACAACGTGCGCGCTCTGGAGGAGGCCAACGCCGAGCTGGAGAGGAAAATCAAGGGCTGGTATGAGAAATACGGACCTGGATCTTGCCGGGGACTTGATCACGACTACAGCAGATACCACCTATCCATTGAAGATCTGAAGAATAAGGTGAGAAATCACAAATCTGAAACATCATTGTTTTTTAAAGACATATTTACTTAGGCATGCAAGAGCTGGGGTGCAGGCCAGAGGTGGGGTGGGGGCAAGGGTGACAGGATTCCCAGGAGACAGTGATTCACTGAAATACACTGCTGAGCCCGGCAGTGGGAGACAGAAGAGGTCTGCGGCGCCATGTGGGTCAGCTCCCTGGCTGGGATGGAACTCGTGCTGCAGTGGCTGTGGACAGCTTCATAGTGCTGAGACTTAACGCCTTGCGCCACCAGGGAGGCCCCCTGAAACTTCAAAGTATTTAAAACTAAGAATTACTTTCTTAGCAAAAGAGGTTTAATAAAAACAGGAAGTATTGCATCTGTAATTTATATCGGATTGATTTATTTTGATAAATAATTCTTCCAACCAAAATAGGTGTTTTTATTCATGAATGTCAATGTAATTTGAATGTTACTAGTTTTATTATTATTTTGAAATATAGTCACTGATAAAAATGTGGTCTATTCTAAAAGCTCTATAAGCATATGAAAAGAGTAAGATCATATTTGTAATTTTTAAAAATTAAATTTTAGACATGCTGTTACTTGAGGAAGTAAGATTTCATGCAAAAGTTCAGCTGTATAACATTTTTCTATTTCCTGAAATAAGTTATGAGAGGCTCATGTCTTGTGTTCGCCTTTTGGTTTCTTCTAGATCATCTCTTCCACCACTGCTAATGCTAATGTCATTCTGCAGATTGATAATGCCAGATTGGCTGCTGATGATTTCCGGCTAAAGTAAGTAGATAGAAAGTAATCATGTTCTAGAAAAAAATTCCTCTCAACATGTGAAGTAAAATTTCAGCTCCAACTAACTAGAATGAACAACAACCTCTAGTTTATAGTTAAAGGAAGTATGCAATGTAATAATAATACAATGTATGCAAGCAGGTCATATTCCAGTCAGTCACACTCACAATATAAACATGTTTATTGTGTATTTGTAATCTTGGAACAAAATATCACTATCCACACACTGCCACACACACGCTATTCATAAATATTTGTCAACTAAGTAATTTTAACTAAGATAAACTTCTGAAGAGGCACACTTTCACTTAACTGGCACATACTTTCACTTGTTGTAATGTTTATGCTAAACAACTGCTGTTGATCCAGCACAGAACTGAGTGATCTGGGGGCGTGGGGGTAAGTTTGGGTATTTTTTTTAATATTAGGCTTCCTGATTTAATTTCTACCTTTCAGTTTGAAGCAACTGCGTTGTTATTTTCTCATCCCTTGAAGTAGTCTAACTTGTTCTGAAATTCACTCAATGCCTCTCAAGGTATGAGAATGAGCTGGCCCTCCACCAGAACACAGAGGCTGACATCAATGGGCTGAGGCGGGTTCTGGATGAGCTGACACTCTGCAGGACTGACCAGGAGCTGCAGTATGAGTCCCTGAGTGAGGAGATGACATATCTCAAGAAGAACCACGAGGAGGTAGGAGAAGCTTGTGTTCCATTCAAAGGGCAGTTCTGTACATTTTCCATATGGGAGAAGGAGGAGGGGATGAAATCATAAGAATAACTCGGACTCACTACAGCAACTCAAACAATGTCAAGGGATATAAATTAAGGCATTCACTTCTCCCATTCTGCCTCACTGACCTCATCCCCTGAGGTAATAAATATGAACAATTGGCCTGTGTCCTTCCATTTCAGAAACTAAGCCTTGCTTTCTTCTAGTGCACCCATCTTTTCCCACACTAGATCATTTCTTTGATTCAAAGAAGGGTGTCTTCAGTCACCCTTCTCACCGAAGACCCCCTGCCTAGGGAAAGATAACAGTGCCTTCCCCACTTCACAAGTCTGGATTTATTCCAGTGTCAAAGCCGTACATAAGTGCACTGTTTGATACATAACACAGGAAAGCCAACTTCCAAGAAAAAAAAAAAGTATTGTCCCAGAAGGAATTACAGAAGTTTCCAAATAATGTATGACAAATTTTCAGGAGCCACCAATGATAGGCATGTCCTATCATTGACTAAAACACCCAACCTCCTTGCCCCAAGTGTGAAAGTTATGGGAGAGAGGGAAAGAGCATAGCAGAAGAGTTAAAATGAAAGAGAAGTGAAAAGACAGGACAGCCACAGAGCAGAGGACTAGAGGAGCAAGCTGACTAGAGTTAGCAAGAGAGTGGAAAAGCATGAGTGTGACTGCAAAACAGTAAACTAGCTCAGAATAGAAGTGATAAAGCCCCCAGTGAGCAGGCCAGCCAAACTGTGCCTTCAGGGTGGGGTCAGGGTCATAGCTGACCCAGGACAGGTCCCTCTGAATGCACTGAGGTGGGGAACCAAGACCCTCTCATATCTCAGCACCCCTGAGAGTGTCCTCTTAACAATACTCACCCATGGCCAGTTTCCCAAGGATAACCCAAGCAATTCAACTTTCAACCCTTTATAGCAACAAGAATTCTTCTTCACGTGGACTCTTAGACAAACCTCAAAATACGGACAATATAAATCTTTTGCTCTGGGTGGACACTGGAAAGTGGCTACTGATGATGTAAGAAAGCAGAGATACCCACCCATCAAAAGCAAAATGAAGAAGGGCTGGCTCCCTAAAGAAAACCAAGTTCCAACATTCACAGGCTGATTTGTCAGGAAACCCACTCCCTGGCCAGGTGAGACAGCTCAGGGGCCCAGGTGGGGCCGAGTGCCACTGCTAAGCCAATGCTGCGGAGTCAGCGTCCACTCTATTCAGTGTTGTGTATCTTGGGAGAGTTACTCTCCTCTCTGTGTCTCAGTTTCCTAATCCATACAATAAGTCCAGTAATAGTGCCTGCTGAATAAACATATTAAAAGACCCAGATGTATGAGAACAGGCCAGCCCTGAGCCAGGCCCTCAGTCACCGGTTGCCGTTGTCCTGAGATACCAGTTCCGAGGAGGGCAGGGATGGTTATGTGCCCTTTCCACTGCTCTATTCCCATCAACAAGAGCTCTGCCTGGTATTAGTCACAATGGACGTGCTTAATGGCCCGTCAGTCTTTTTATCCCTCTCTGTCTCAAAGAATAAAACACTCCTCTTGAGATGCTGTAACCGCCTTTGCTGAGGTGTCGATTTTGGTTGTTTTACTAACACAGAACTAACTAAATAGATGGTCGGCATGGCTACGGATCCAGCGAGTACATGTGAAAAATCTTGCACGGTTTCCTTCTGGGGTGAGCACTGGCAGCCCCCCAAAACATCCCAGCTATCCTCTCAAGGTTCAGCCCCGAGCCACGAGCCATCAAGTACTGTCTGAAAATTCTCCCGGGGCCTGGCTGACTGTAAAGGGCCCCCCCACCCCGAGTGACACGCGTTTCCCTGCAGGAGATGAAGGCCCTGCAGTGCGCGGCTGGCGGCAACGTGAACGTGGAGATGAACGCGGCGCCTGGCGTGGACCTCACCGTCCTGCTCAACAACATGCGCGCGGAGTACGAGGACCTGGCGGAGCAGAACCGCAGGGACGCCGAGGCCTGGTTCAACGAGAAGGCGAGTGTCGCCGAGTCTTGGCCACAACAGCCCGGGGGCCCTTGGGGGTGTTCAGGCGCTAAGGTTTGCCTCTTGCCTCTACCCAGAGTGCCTCGCTGCAGCAGCAGATCTCCGACGACGCGGGCGCAGCCACCTCGGCCCGCAGCGAGCTGACCGAGCTGAAGCGCGCCATGCAGACCCTGGAGATAGAGCTGCAATCCCTGCTCGCCACGGTAGGTGACAGCGAGGGTCGCCGGGCTTGGAGTTGTAAAAGGTCCCACTGAGCCCTGCCTTGCTCCCTGGCGCGTAGCGTTACTCACATGTGCTGAGGCGTTGGACCAGGCTGGGCAGGGCGCCGGTGCTTGAAAACAGCTCACGGTTCTCCTAGCTCTGTTTAGGGCTCTGCCGAGCAAGCGGTAGCATTTTGCTTCCCTGGAAAAGTAAGCGGCAGGCCCCTGTCCTGTCTACCTGGTGTCTGTACCTGGGTCTACAAAAGGGATGCCATGGGGTTATCCCGGGTGAAAGAGACACATCTGCTCCCACAGGACCCCCTCAGCTACTTCATCCCCAAGTATCCCTCCAAGCTCCTCCACACACAGCGGGTTCCTTCAGAGGTTACACAGAGACCACCCAGGATTAAAACTGGCTTCCCTTCTGGGGAGGCAGTGGCAGTACCCAAAAGGCTTGATTTAGAAAGACGCAGACATAACCCCAGGCTCCCTGTCCTCCCAAGATGTCTCCTGCTCCCTGAGGACACCTGGTTGTGACAAAAGAAAAAGGCAACAGGTCTTCACAAATGAGTCTGTGAGGCAGAAAGGAAAAGATGACCCTGTGAGGAGCCACCAGCACTAGTGGGCCCTCTTACAGCTCACATTACAGGAGACTTGTTTGTCGCCACTGACCCACCCCCATCCAGTCAGCCTGACCCTCTTCTCCTCACCCTTGTCACTGCTGCTGCTGTGGGTTCCTGGGGTTCCCCCTTCTTTTCTTCCCTGCTAGTAGAACCCCAAGCGCCTGGTCCTGATGAGCACATGTCCCCCTCCCATTCCCAAGGGGTATGGAAGGAAATAAATTCCTGGGTTCCCAGGATGGAATTTTCTGCATTTCCAGTGCTTCCACATAGAAGCACTGATGTTAGAAAGTATGTATAATTTTCTCGTAACATGTGAAAATATATATGGCCACACTCACATACACACAAACATGCACATATATAGTGGAATTTCTTAACACATATGAGAATACTGGAGGAAAAATGAAGAAGCTCATTCTGTGCAGCCAGAAGTACTGTAGTTTGGATCCATGACATAATCCAAAAACAAACAAAATTGTAACAAACAACAGAACTGAATTATAGAATCATGGTGACACTGAATTTAACTCTCACACTTAAGAGGCTTCTGGCATAAGATGAACTCTAAGCTCCACTTCCTAGGGTAACAAATCATGTGCAAGTTGGGTATTGTCTAAATACATAAACATGTCAGGTGTTCTCTGTAGTATCCAAACTCCCAAGTTCAGCCTGTCCTCCTTCTTCACCTACAGTCAACCTTTAAAAGGAAGGCTCTGAAATAGAGATCCCTCCGACTGATTTAAGAGAATATTAGTGATCTTTAATAAATATGCAAAGATGTCATGAGGCAAATTGAGGTTCCAAGCAGCCAAGCGCACGCCTCCCAGACACCTGGTCACTTGCTGCCTCGCACCCAGCTCATCCTGGCCGCCCTCCCTCCTGCTCCAGAGCGGGAGCAGCACCACACAATGTACTGTCACCTGCCTGGCTAAGTCAATGGCTCTTAGCCACTAGACCTAGAATCTGCTTAATAACATTAATATTTCATAACTTCTTCATAATCCTATTATGAAGACAATACACAGAATCTACTTAGCAATACACAGAACTTCTTAAACCAAGCCTGCAAAAACAAGAAAACCTAAAAGTAATGTTAAGTAGATATATTTACAGTGGGGTCCAACTACCCCAAAGCATGGACTGAAAAAGACAGAGGCTTGCTCTGATAAGTCAGTTGTATCTTAAACAATAGGGGATCCGGAATTGCTCCACACTATAAAGGAGTGGAAATGGGGGCGAACTCACTGGTCATAACTAGTACCCAAAGTGAGAACCACCCAGATGTACTTACACAGGATAAGGGAAGGAGTTAAACTGCTTTACTTGAAGAGGGGTCATGTGCTGGACAAATGCTGGACTATGGGCAGCACCGTGGGGCTGTAACACTCAGAAGACAAGCGCTGAGAAATGAGCTGGGCTGTGTTACGAAACCCGTCCTTGTCCTGAAATCCACCCCCAGAACAGCATTCATCCCGTCTCAGTGCTAAATAAAAGACCTTGGGTGGGTGACAGAGACTCGAAGAGGGATTAGAGAAAGAAAGAGCCGTGCAAAGGCTGCTAGGATCGGTGGTGGGTGGCTCTCTGGCCACAGAAGCCAAAGATTGGAAAACAACAGGGAACCCCAAAATCACTGTAGTTTCGACAATACTGATTTCTTAGGGTGCTAAACCCCCAAAAGTGCTGTAATGTCTAGGTTGGTCGTAATAGGAAATATTACTAGATATTACGACTATCTCTTGAGACGCTCCAACGTCTGGTGGGACAAGCATCATTACCCCATGTCAGGTCACCCATTGTGCCCCTGCACCCCCCCCCACTAAGTACCTGTCTCTTCCCCTTCCTCTCTGCCTCCTGTTTTTGTTTTGACAAGTCCCACAGCTTCTGAGACCTGGGGGGCAGCACTGGTCTCTACATAGTCCCCAGAGTGGCCTAATGCTTGCTCTGGCATCTTCTGTGTCCCTAGAAACACTCTCTGGAGTGCTCCCTGACCGAGACCGAAGGCAACTACTGCACTCAGCTCGCCCAGATCCAGGCCCAGATCGGGGCCCTGGAGGAGCAGCTGCACCAGGTCAGAACCGAGACCGAGGGCCAGAAGCTGGAGTATGAGCAGCTGCTGGACATCAAGGTCCACCTGGAGAAGGAAATCGAGACCTACTGCCGCCTGATAGATGGAGACGGGACGTAAGTACCACCATTAGAAAATCCAGCTCTTACCTCCTCCAAACCACAACCAGAAGCTGCCCGGTGCTCTCTGAAGCTCCAGGCCTGTTCTTTTTCATTGCACTGCAGAAAAGCATGTCCCTCTCTTGCCTCTGCAGTCACCTAGTCTGTATCTTGTACATCACTGGGTCTTCACCACCTGCCTTGAATGACCCAGGCTGTCCCTGCAGAAGCCCCTGTTTGTTGTCCGTGTGAACCTCCGTGATTCGGGGTTCTCCCCACCACACCCCCAGGCATTACCTAGCATCCAATGCATGCCAAGTAGCTCTGCTTCTCTGAAATAAACATACTCTGTACAAACTCCCTGAAGCTTGACATTCTTGAGTCTAAAAAAATCAAACAGAAACAAGATTGTTTTATACCCTCTCTTTAAATCACGTTCAATTATTTTTAGCTCCTGCACGCAAATATTTTAACATTTCCTCTCTAGCAGATGTAGATTATTTCTGGGATATAAAGTTCACCTGAGTTCATGTTCATCTCTTGATTCAATGGCTATTTATTACTTGATAAATAGAAGTCACAGAGACTAAACTGGACCTTTTTTAACAGCTCATGCTCCCAATCCAAGGGTTTTGGATCAGGAAGCTCGGGAAATTCATCCAAAGGTAATAAAATCTAGTTCTGTTTCTGTGGCAGCAAATACTTTCACGTTAATGGCGATCACACATGATGGTAACACGCTATATTTAGATAATTTTAACTAAAGTGCTCTGGACTTAAAACATTGCTCTATCTAAACTATCCCAAACTGAGCATTCTATATGCTTACTCACAAATATATCCTATAATATGTATGTTTAACACAGTAGAAGAATTCTTTGTGATGTAATCTTTCAGGTTGGGTATGTTTATTCACTCATGTTTTGTTTCTAGAATTATCCAAAACCACACTGGTAAAGACAGTAGTTGAAGAAATAGATCAACGTGGCAAAGTTCTCTCATCAAGGGTTCACTCCATTGAAGAGAAGACAGCCAAAGTGGCCAGCGGAAAGGCAGAGCAGAGGGTTCCTTTCTAGCTGTCACCTTTGAGAAAAGAATTTGGGGAAAGGCCCATATGCCTGCATGCTTCTAAATAGCAGAGAGGATAATAAAAATACCTCCTACCCTTGCAAAATAACTTGCTTAGCAAGCATAACTTTTACAAGATGCTGGGTGTTTGTTTTCAAACGAATAAAAAAAAATGGATGTGCATTCATTTCCACTTACTCGTGACTAATAAAGAATTATTTGTGATTTCTTTCTGTGTTATTTCATTGGGAAACATTTGCGGGATGTATTGTAATTGCTTTTCACTCTGGTTTTAAATAGTGGTCAGAATCATATGATGTTTAAATATCAAACAGCCACAAAACATCTTCAATTCCCACCACTTTTGGACTGTGCAAATAAACTGGAAAAGTTGAGAATATTGCTTCAGATTGAAAGTTTCCTCCACCAGATGGCACATTCCCAGTATTTTGCCTATGAGCTTACAAAGTCAAAACACCTGGAGTCCCTCGATCCATCCCTGGATCTACTGTTTTCATGAACAAGATAATTTCTAGAAAGACCCTCATGCTCATGAATTGTGTCCTAGAACAGAGATGGGCAATTTTTTTCTGGGCCATTTTTATCTGGGAAGGGCCTTATGAGGCATTAAGGTCTCTATTTCAACTGTTCACTGAACCATTAAAGCAGAAACTAGCGACAGACAATAGATAGATCAACAAGTGAGCCTTACTGTGTCCCAGTAAAACTTTACTTACAGCCCCTGAAATTCAAATCTTGAATGATTCTAGTGTGATCCTAAAATATTGTTCTGTTTTTTTATTCTACTCAACCATAGAAAATATAAAAACCATTCTTAGCAATAGGATATATGAAAACAGAGCAGACCAGGCTTAATCTACCAGCTCTTGTTCTAGAGCTTCAAATCTCATTAAACTGATGAACATTATGTTTACTGTGTTTTTCTATGTTTCTGAATCAAAACATACAGTGGAGATTCCAAACAAATGTTAATTTCTCACAAAGAGAACAGGCCTCATATTTCTCTCAAATATGAACTGATTCTACTGATCAGGACAGGTCAGATCTAATCTCCAGAGAAGGAAGAAATTCTACCTGGTAACTCAGTCATCATGTGCGATTTCAAAGCATGAAATATTTATGAGACCTGGAACCAAAAGTAATCAAATAAAGCAAATACTAGAAATTCATGAGGAAATAGCTTCCCAAACATACTACATACAAGGCCAGCTACATAGGTTACAGGACTCAATGAAAATGTGGTGCTCTTTATTCAAACATCAGGAGAAAGTATCATTTAAGCACTAACATATGTATTTTTCCTGCTGTCTTCAAACTTTCAACTCATCATGGATTTTTTGGTGGGGTTTCTTCTTGCCATTTCATGTCATTCTATGACAGTAAAAATTAAAACTAATGTATTTTATAAATTATTCCCTTCATTTTATATTGTGCAATGCCAGGTTAATATAAGAACACTGGACTTATGTACAGAATCAAAAAATGACACAATTCATATTCTGTAGCTTATACACAGGTGTATGCTGTTCTTATCAAAACACTGGAAACACTCCACCAAACACACTCAACTGCTTTCATTTCATCTCTTTGTATGTTCCATTCTCCCAACACTCTCCACCACTGACTTAATAGTGAGTTAGAAAAGATCCAAGAAAAGGAATTATGGATTGTTGTATCTTCCTATATTATTGTTTTCAGCAAAAGGAGCTAGCCGATACAGAAATGTAACACAAGTAATTACACGATGCTGCTTTGATCATTCATTGTCTTCTTTCTGTGTTCAAAGTAAATTATCTTTGAGTGGTGTCTTGGGGCTGTCAGAACTGTTTGTCCAGTCAGAGACGTAAGATGCATCCCTTGGATGCCCTTTGAGTCTCCCCAGACTCCTGCCAAGCTGGGGCCAGCAGAAGGCTGTGCACATGGGGACTGCACTACATGTGCTATATGATCACAAACATCACATGTCCTCTCCTGACCGCAAACATGCCCTGCAGCCTTCGTTTACAAGACATAAGTTCAAAGACAAAAGTATTAATGAAGTCAAATAGCAACAGGAGAGGATTAAACCAAGTGTGTGAATCTTCTGCAATTTTGTGTCCATAATGCCAGCACTGCTGAGTACTCATAACACACCTATGTTTTCAAATTCTTATCTTTGTGATCTGTTTTCCATAGCTAATCCCACTTATACTATGCATATATTTTGCATTTTGTGGCTGTGATAAGGGCACTCTTGGTGTGGAAAAATTTTAAAGGAAAACAAATAACTCTCATTTATCATGTTTTTTGTCAGAGAAATAAACCTGAATACTGTGTCTCTACTTAGCTGAGGATGAGTGTAAATTAAATTCTGAATGCATTTCCCTCATTTCTGTTGAGTTCACAGGAAATATTTTGTGGAAGGAAATATTTCACACTCAGGGCTTAGCATCTCAACTCTGTCCTTCCTAGCTGGACATGTGAAAATTGAGCATCTATCTCCTTTAGGGTTATCCTTTGCTCAGCAGAATTTTAGGGTTCCTCAGGAGTTTGAATGATTGCATGATTCTTATCGATTCTTGAAGGCTCACATGTTTTTTGCTGTGGTGCAAAAGTACTTTCAAGTAATCAATTTCCATCTAAAAGAAAAAGAATTCAGTTGCCATGATCCAGTGGTTGTTCAGGCAGAAATCACATGTGACTCCACTTTCTCTCTTTTTTTTTTTTTTTTTTAAAGATTTATGTATTTGTGCATACAGAACTGGGGTACAGGCCAGAGACTCAGGGGTGGCGAAAGACTTCACCAGAGACAGAGTGGGGAGCAGAACAGGCAGATCGATGAAGTACACTGCTGAGGGAAGCAGCGGGCGGGTCAGGAGAGGTCTGCCGTGCCATGTGGTCACCTCCGGGGCAGGCGGGAATCGAACTCATGCGGAAGTGGTTTCAGGTTCTCAGTGCAGTGCTTTAACCCGCTGCGCCACCAGGGAGGGCCTCCACTTTCTCTTTTTAACAAACATCCAATATTTGTGAGAAGTGTATTTTTTTGGAGAACTTTCATGCTAATATCGCAGGTATACTTGAGAACAAAACAAACCTGCTCTCTCGTGGACTGGCCTGATCTGAGCACACTAAACTTCCTTTAACATCTTTTCCCTAAGTGCTATTTTTTGAGGCTTTATCTCATGTCTTTCATTTTCCAATATATGGTGATCTTTTGAAATTCTGTTTGTCTTAAAGAATAAAGCCTTAAATATTTGGAGAATCTGTGTGTATTCACTTCAAGGTGATTGTGTAGTGACCTTCCATTTGTGGAGAACACCCAACTCTCCAGACCTTGAGGTCTTTTTTCTAGGATTCTTCAGCTTTCCTAGAGAAAGTCCCAATGACTAGAGATACTACATGAATTTCAGGGACGAGTACAAGGTAGAAATGTGGGACTCTTTGTTCAAAGTCAGGAAAAATTTCAGTTAGAAGTACAAAACATCAATTTTTTTTAAATTTTATTACTTAAAGCATAATATAGTCATAGTGGTGCAATATATAATAATATAAACTTACAGATTTCAGGAAGTAACATTTGTAATGTCATCCTTTCATGCAATACATTTTAATTTATTAAAGTGATTTCTTAATTGATCAACAGATCTTTCTGGCTTGCTTTTCTGCAAATTCACTTATTAGGTAGGAAAATTTGTATCTTTAGCAACTTCATTTTCAATCTATATAATTGAAAGTGATGTCAGTCATTCTTGGCAAATGCAAGACCTCAAATAATCTCCAATGGGGAGAACAATATGAACAAAGACAGGGGAACAGTAAAATAAAAGAATGGATGGATTGGTAGGTAGAACCTACATCAAGAATGATCTTAAATGTCAGGCAAAGAAGCTTCATCTATTCATTAGTCAATGATTTTAAACTGGAGAGAATAGAAAGAGGGGAAAATACTCACCAATTACCTATTATTGACAGGCATAGTTGCCACACGTGCTGAAATACCATTTAACAGCCTTACAGCCATACCAATAATGTCTCGAACTTAGAAATGAAAAACTAAGGCTGAGAAAGAATGAATGATCAATCACACAACTGGAAAATGGCAGAACTGAATACAAACACTGATGCATCTGATTCAAGAGCCCAAGTTCTTTCAATTGCATGAAGGGGGTGGTACATCAGAAATAGTACTTCAGTGCCTATTCGCCTACCAACCATGATGAAAAAGAAAAAGACTTGATGCTAACAATCCAATTAAAACTTGAATAGTTTAAAAAATGACAGTGGTAAAGAAAAGAGAAAAAAGCTTCAAGAGACACAGCAGAAATAGATTCAGTAGGACATAATGACTTATTAGATGCAGACTGGTAGAAAAATAATAGCAATTCTAGTCTTCTTAGTAATCTTGAGCATGACTCAGGGTAATTTCACCCACAGCTAATGAAAAAAGATGCAAAAGATTCGATTTTGATGACAAGGTGATTGCGTGTTGAGAAGTCAAGACAGAACACCATGGAGAAATGTCTGGTGCACACAGGAAGGTGCATGTCTAGGAAGGTGAAGAGGTCAGTGCTAAAGATGTCGAGTTAGAAACCACACAGAGCCACAGCAAGAAGTAAGGACAAGATCACAGAGTGTGTAGAAAACGGGAGCACCACGCCCAAAACTTTAAGGAATGACAAAAGGTAGAGGACAGAAGCTAAGGCAGGCAGGTAAGAAGAAAAGCAACCAGAGTGGGAGAAGCATCCTCAGAAAGCAAGTGCTTAAAACTCACCAGCACTGGGACGCTCAGTACTGCATGTATCTAAGGGAGAGGAGAAAAAATACAGGAGATGACAGCTGGATTAGAGATGTGGGGTAATAAACCACCTTTGAGAGATTCATTTCGGTAAAGTGGAAGGACCAAAAATCGGCAGTGAGCAGGAAGTGAAAAGTGAAAGAAAGGCATGCAGAACATTTTTATAGAAGGAAAAAATATAAAATGACAAGAAATAAAGAAATGCAAAGGGAACCTATGGACCATAGTCTCGGTCCCTTCATTTTTACAGTGAGAAAGCTGAAGCCTAGAGGAGCTAACCAACACTTCTACTTAACCTGCTGAGCATCAGCACTTAGCAGAAAACCAATAAATATGAAATGATAACTCAGGAGGGAGAGGAATTAAGAGAAGACTTTCTGTCACCAGAGAGTCCATTTTATTCCTCAAGTTTCATTTGGAACGCGATGTCCACCTTCTGATACCATCACCCCAAGATCTTGACCTTTTCAGCATCTCCAAAAGAAAACCCACATATTCCACAGAAAGCCATGAATGTGACACTTCATCTCTGCAGAAAATGCAATGCTGTTGGTTTGAGTAAGGGAAAGAGAAATATGCCTATCAACTTTTACATTCTTATAGGAATTTTATGGCCCAAAGCCTGGAGGGCAGGAAGGATTAGTCATACTAAATTTGAAATGCATCACTATAATAACCTTGATAATACTCCTCCCTGGTCCATTTTGGAGATAACAAATACCCCCAAGGTAACTCTCCACCTACAGAAGTGGACATGGTAGGGTAAAGACATTCATTAAAAAAAAAAAAAATCACCCAATTATGAATAATTCATGATGAGCTGGCAAATGCTATTTTGCTATGGGTAGCAAAGCTCATCAAGAAACACCCCAATAATGTGTATATAAGGCCAAAGTGAGCTGTTGGAGAAGGACACTCACCGTCAGAGCTCCAGTCCAAGAATAAACGCTCCAGTCTGGCCACCATGTCTGTGCGCTTTTCTACTGCATCCCGGCGCCTTGCTTCTTGTGGGGGAGCAGGCTCCTCGCGGCTCTCTAGTGGGGGAACCGGCTTTGGGGCTGGAAACGCCTGTGGTGTGCCAGGCATCGGGGGTAGCTTTTCATGTGCCTTTGGGGGCAGCTCATCTGCAGGAGGCTATGGCGGGGGACTAGCCGGGGGGAGCACGTCCTGTGCCGCCTACACAGGCAACGAGCACGGTCTCCTGTCGGGCAACGAGAAGGTGACCATGCAGAACCTCAACGACCGCCTGGCCTCCTACCTGGACAACGTGCGCGCCCTGGAGGAGGCCAACGCCGACCTGGAGCAGAAGATCAAGGGCTGGTATGAGAAATTCGGGCCTGGTTCCTGCCGCGGGCTTGATCATGACTACAGCAGATACTTCCCCATCATTGACGACCTTAAGAGCCAGGTAAGAAGCAGTATCACAGGATTCAGCATTAATAATACCCCATCAGCCATCCATATGCAGATGCGCACATAACCGTCTAGCACATAACCTTCTAGGACATAGGGCTTGGCTCTCAGCTTCTAATAGTGGTGTTTCATTACTAATATTAAAGAGAGTTCATATTAAAATCTAAGCTTGGTGGCTTTCCCTCGTGGCACAGAGGGTAAAAGCGCAGCACTGCAAGCTAGCCACAGACTCTTCAGTGTGAGTTCAATCTCTGGCCTCGGAGCTGACCCACATGGCGCAGCAGGCCTCTCCTGAACCGCCCACTGCTCCCCTCAGCGGTGTACTTCCTAGATCTGCCTATTCTACTCCCTACTCTGTCTCTGGTGAATCCTCTCACTGCCCCTGCACCTCTGGCCTATACCTCAGTTCTGTATGCATAAATAAATAAGTAAATCTTTTACAAAAATAAAAAAGAAAAGAAAATCTAAGCTTGGAACATAGTCTGCCCATCATTAGGTATTGGTTATGGGTGTTTATGCATTTAGAAGATTAAAATAACAAAAACTGCTCAATATGTAGGTCTATATTTACAAATTTTTCCATCAAAAGGGCTGGTTTGGTTCTAAAGGGTGGGGTGGAAGGTAAAAGAGGCCATACTTAAATGTCCCATTTTCAAAAGAATCATCTGACTATTGACAACAGAACGACAGAAATACTGCTGTAATTTCAAGAGTGACTATTTTAAAGAATTTTTAAATTACACTTCCTACTCTTAACTGACTCTCCATTTATCAGATCATCTCTGCAACTTCAAGTAATGCCAACGTGGTCCTTCAAAATGACAACGCCAGACTCACAGCTGATGACTTCAGGCTCAAGTAAGTGGACACAAAGGAGGAAAAGCTTATCTGAGCATTTGCCTCTTTTTTTTAGATTAAGGATCAAGTCCATGCTTTTAGTTGAGTGAGTTGAGTTTGTTTCAAACCAAATGCATTTGAGGATGGCTAGCTGCAAAACACACTGTACTTGGAAAACTGGAGAGGGGATGACACGTATGAAATGTCAAGATCATGGGGAGGAGAAATTCTAATCCCCCAAATGTATCATTTCCATGAAATGTGTTGGTTGCATTATGGGTCATCTAACTAAAGTTATAATAAAAGGAAAAATAATCTGACCTCGAAGATGAGGTTGACTTTTATGGAGGCCTGGAAGAGTGATGTGACTAAGGTTCAGAAACGTCCCAATATTTGTCCAAGGTATGAGAATGAGCTGGCCCTGCACCAGAGCGTGGAGACCGACATTGGCAGCCTGCGCAGGGTGCTGGATGAGCTGACACTGTGCCGAACCGACCTGCAGATCCAGCTGGAAACCATGAGCGAGGAGCTTACTTACCTCAAGAAGAACCATGAAGAGGTAAATGTTCCATCGCCCCAGCTCACACAACCCGCCTTCCTTCCCAATTTGAACATAAATTTCAGATGAGAAATAGGACATCTTAAATTCATAGTCGAGAAGGAACTTGCCCATTGCACTAGGTGGCTTGGAAATTATCCTGTGTGTTCCCCTCAAACGAAACCAAGCCTGGGGAAAAGTTTCTGACAATATAGATAGTGTCTATCAAGAGCCTGTAGAAATGTTCAGCTCCTGGAAGAGATCATGCTTAGTGAAATTAGCCAGAAAGAAAAGGGAAAACACCTCATGGTTTCACTCATAGCAGGAGTATAATGGACCAGGGGAGAAAATAATAATAATAACGAACAACTATATAGGGGGGTGGGTTGGGGAGGGGGGCTAAAAAGGGGGGATGAGGGGTAAGCGCACTGGACTATGGTGATGGCACAGCTGCTACCAGCGTGAACACTGTATTTCAGGAGATGAAGGCCCTGCAGTGCGCGGCTGGCGGCAACGTGAACGTGGAGATGAACGCGGCGCCTGGCGTGGACCTCACCGTCCTGCTCAACAA